TACTCAAAATTTCCGCTACCGGTTCTCCAGTACTGGTCAGAACCTGCTGAAAACCACCTCTGCTATAGCCTGCAGGATGGTTGTAGGGAAATGGGACCTCCCATGTATCATAATGCTTTCTCTTCTCCGTTCTGTTCAGTTGTTAAATCATTCAATCATTCTATTCAATCTTTCACTTCTCAGTGACAAATGTCTGGACAAATGCCTCCAGTTTTTTTTCAGAAATAGATTAGATAAGATTAGATAAAATAAGATGAGATAAGATTATATTATATTGGACTAGACTAGACAGAGTTAGAAGGGACCTTGTAGGTCATCTACAAAATAAGGTCATCCAATAGCTCCATGCCCAAACTAGGACTAGAATTTATGGTCTCCCAATATCTTCAAAGAAAAAACAAGAAAGTCCAGTTGCCTCCTGAAAAAGCACCTTTGGGACAACCATGACCTGGATGACCGAGAATCTCTACAGAATTTTAGCCATAATCTGCAGGAACCGTTTTGGAGGCAAAAGGGATGAAACATTTTTAAGTCCTGTGAAACGAGATAATATTTGGAAGTGGATTAGGCAGAGCCTCCCTGAGCTATTTGAGCAGAAGACAGGGAAGGAAGGAGGGAGGGAGGGAGGGATGGATGGAGGGAGGGAGGGAGGAACAACACAATGAGACCTGCAAGATTCTCTTCTTGTAGCTAATCTCCATAAAAATAGTTTTAGTCAATGGTTTAACAACCAGTTCAGTGATCGCGTGCGTCGCACTTGTGCACAGTTTTAACAAAACTTACATTCCACGTTACTTCTGGGGAGTAACACATCTGAGGCATAGCAATCCTCTCTACTGCAGGAATCCGCTGAGAGGATATAGGTAAGTAAAGAACAGGGCCGGCGTGCAGGCGGGCCCACCTGATCATCGGACCGAACCGGTTCGCTCCCCAGCTGATTGTCAGAGCTACCAGTTCACCCAAACAGGTCCGAACCAGCTAAATCCCACCACTGGTTTTAGTCTTTCTGCAAAGTCCATTTCATTTCCCGTTCTGAACTACCTAGCGAGACTGGAATAGGTTAGATCTTACTTCAGGGTCTCATCTGTGTGGGCTAATTCAATAAGCAGGATAGTTGTGTGAATACAGACAGAAAAGAACAACAAGGAATTGCTCAGAAAATTTCTCCTTATTTCCAGATTGAATCTCTCCTTGATCAGTTTCTATCCATTATTCCTTCTCTGGCCTTCAGGTGCTTTGGAGAATAGCTTGACCCTCTCCTCTCTGTGGCAGCCCCTCAAGTATTGGAACACTGCTATCACATCACTCCTGGTCAGGGGTGAAATCTACTTACCTTCGCTACCGGTTCACAAATGTGAGTGCACGCACCACTCCCATCATTAGACTAGCTGTGCCCAGTTCTTACAACCATTCTTCATATGTTTTAGTCTCCAGTCTCCTAATCATCTTTCTTGTGCTTGAGATTCAACATGATCTGATTGGTATGCCATTGGTGAAGAACCATACCAGAAATCTAGTCCAGTTCCCAGATGATCTCTGGTTAGAATCCAGTAATCATGTTAATTAGCACCAAGTCAAAAAGTACAGATGCAATTCTTCATAAATGGAATTGGGGTGGATTTGGGGGAAAAAGAACATTGGGGGATTCTATGCAATATAGGGCTGGAAGATAATCCAAAAATTATTGGCAATCAATGACAGTGTATACATATCCTCAGCAGATAGTGGTGTTTAATTAAAGTTGGTTGGACGTCAAAAAGTTTAGCAGAATTGGAACTAGCTATTGCTTTGATGGAAAACTACCAGAAAATCCCAAGACTAGATTGGAAAAAACATCCAGAAAGAAGCGAGCAGGAAACAGCTCCCATATTGTTCCAATAAAAAAAACTTTGTGGTCTTTTTTTCCCTTTGATATCTCTCCCAACACGTTGATGTTCCTCATAATGCCTAAGTACCCCCACCTCTGCCTTCAAATAGGCCATTTCAACCTGCAAATCTGATTTTTGGTACTAGACTTCCAGAATTCCTTAAATTTCCTGTGGGCTGGCAGATTTCNACAATGTGTTTTTTTTAGTCAGAGAAAATGACTGAATTTTGTTAGAATTAAGAAATCCCTATTCTTTTATTACTGTATAATTGCACCATTGACATTGCCTGAATCTTTTGGAGTACAATGGCAAGTGCCTATAATTTATGTTTAAATGCCTCAAAAATAAAACAGACATAAGTATAAAATAATACTTAACAACAATAAATGATACTGACTTGGTAGCAACATTAAAGTAATATACTTTTCAATCTTATCGGCTAGAATTATGACCTATTATTTATATTAAAAAAAGTGTTCAGATTATATAGTGGCAAGTATCAAAAGCAGCTCTTCACTAGAACAACAATACAATTTTGTCTGCACTTTCCAGATTTGTTTTTGCAGGATCCTCTTTAAAAATCAATATACTTGATAGTCAAATCCTTGATTATTTATACAACAGTACACTTTAATCTACTTTTGGGATATTTTTTTTTACATAAGGAAGTTCTTAGGCATACTTTGAGCTGAGTTGCAAAATTCTGATTAATGGATGCTAGATAAATACTTCGTAGATTCAATATACCATGGTTTAATGGGAGGATACGGCAGGAGACAACAATTCCACACTTACAGAACACATTTCTGTACCCTGCTCTGAAATGGTGAACTCTGAAAATGTACAGGAGGAAACTGCAAACAGATAATTTTATTTCTAAACCATAATGCAGTTTTGAAGCTCATTATGCATGAATGCAGCAGAAGCTGAACATTATAATTATGGCATTCTCAGCATGTCCTCACAACATATCCAAAAATACCTACTGACCTAATGAAGCAATAGAACACAGACAAAGGAATAATTAGTTGGACTGATTATAACATAATGTTCTTGATTTGATAATTCACTCTCAATCCAAACTTGATCATGCATTTGTAGTTTGCCTCATTTACTATTCCATTCCCATAAATTACAATTTTTCCATTGTGATGTGATTTGCAGAAAAATATGATTAAGCTATCAAATTTGTAAATAGAGTAAGAAAAAGAGGTGGAGCTATATCAGTTATTCATAAATTGATATATCATAAACCACACTAGATTGCTTATTTCTAAATGGTGCCATATTTGAAGTCCATCAATGTTAAATGAGCAACACTATGACTTAGTGAACCCTCCCAAAAACTGAGTGTGCTTAAGTTTGTTCAGTGAAAAATCAAATAATAAACCAAGAATTAAGGGAACTTTAAGGAATTGGGGTCTTTTTTCACTACTGAAAGTAAAAAAAAAACAGGAACACAAGAAACTCTTTAGACTCATGTTGGTTAAAAACAGAGAATGATCTAGTATACAGATAGTCCTTGACTTATGACCACGATTGAGCCTCAACTTTCTGTTGTTAAGTGAGACATTTATTGAGTTTTGCCACATTTATGACCTTTCTTGCCACAGTTGTTAAGTGAATCACTGGAGTTGATAAATTTGTTAAGTGAATCTGGCTACCCTATTGACTTTGCTTGTTGGAGGTCACAAAAAGTGATCACATGATCTTGGGACACTAGTCATAAATATGAACCAGTTGCCAAGCATCTGAATTTCAATCACATGATCATGGGGATGCTGCAAAGGTTGTAACTTTGAAAAATGGTCATAAGTCATTTTGTTCAGTGCCGTTGTAACTTTGAACAATCATTAAATGAACTGTTGTAAGTCAAGGACTACCTGTATTCACAAAACAGTGAAATACCCATATTGCTTAGGTGCATGAGATTTAAAAAAACAATTCTCCAATACTAAACACACAGAAGAGCAGTGACTAGATCTGCCTTGTCAACTCTTGATAATTATAATAAACTTCCATTTCCAAAAAAACATTTTTGTTTGTTATCATGTATGCAATTGTTATTATTTCATGCTTTTTATTTCCACTATACTTAAAAATGCCTCTTTATAAAATTTCTTTGGTTGACCAAAGGCTAAAAGGGATTTTTAATTCTCTCTTCGAAGGCAATTTTAATAGAAACATATAATCCTGAGAAAGACAATAAATTCAGTGTCAGTAAGTTGTAAAATCAGAATGGATTGACAAAGGGATGGATGAAACTTTTCCATGTATATTTTTAGCTTGTAAGCATGCTATGTTATTTATATGATTTACCTGGAAGCCAATTCTTAAAAAAAAAACCCAACAAACCAATCAGATCATTCGGTGTTTTCCCCAGAGGAAGGAGGTTTAAAAACTAAGATATATATTTTTGGAGGAGAAAAGGGGACAAGAATTTTAAAGTAATCATAATCCATTCTAAATGTAAGGATATCATTCCAAAGTTCTCTTCACCTTTTGCTTAGAGAGAACTTAACACTCTGTCAGCATTGTGACTTGAGCTGGAATTGGCCAATACGGTAATTGTATGTCCTCAATTGCACTATAATTATTCTTAAAGAGAATAATTCTTACAGAGTAAGTTATACAGGTCTAATGGTTGGTTGAAGATTAAATAAACATTAGAAATAGCAGAATATGGATTAAAATATTTTTCCTCACATTTAATGCAGCAAGATGAGTATAAAGAGAAATTAATTATAGCTTTTAATAACATATTTTCAAAATCTCATAAGGGCATAAGCTCAAGCCTAAATACATTTCTGGCGTTACTTTTCAAATCTGCTTCTTTCTTTCTAGAGCAATAGTACAGCTTCTGGAAAAAATATTTTTCCACAAGTATCAGCTGGATGAAATCGTGTGCAAACATTCTTATGATGTGTTATAATATGATGTATATAGCTCCCCTCCTATTTTTCATCTCTTTAGAAAATTTAAAGTAAGATAATTGATTTAACAGAAGAATGTTTTTACAACAGATACCTAATGTGAAACTTTCCATTTGGAAGGAAATGATAGAAACTGAAATACACTACATCTGGAGAATGGGTTAGAAAAGACTATTTTGAATACTTTTAATAAAACCATAATTTTATATGCTTTCTTCTTTATTACAGAAATAGGATAGATTGATTTGGGGAAGGAAAAACTAATAATTTTAAAACATCTAGCAATAAAATAATTAAGACTTACTGTAATATATTAACAAAGATTATTTTGTACTTTATTAATTCTAGCAACTACATTAGCAAAATCAACAGATATACTCTATAGAATACTGAGCTGATTAAACTATCTAATACATTTTCACAAAATGTAATAGGGAAAATTTAGATGACATTTGGGGAGAAACTGCTAAACAGACAGGACACTGATAGATGGACATATATGCGCTAGAGCCAATGGTCAGTCTTTACAAAGAAAGAAAGAAACAAATAAATAAAAGGAGATTTAACTATTTTCAAAGCATAATGTGACATAGTATCTAAATCTTTTAGATAAAAACAACTGTAAATGTATGACTCCTCTTTTTATATATGTATGTACTACATAAACTTACTTATGCATCTATTAATACTTTTAAATTCTGTGATTTGGTTTTGGACCATAAGTAAATAAATAAAAAATAATATATATTTTGAGAGCCAGTTTGGACATACAGTAAAGGTCTTAAAAAGTATCATCAAATAAAAAGTTTTCAACTTTGTGTTATGCTCAACTGAAACAAATTTGCTTAACCTGGCCACTCACCTTCCAGAAGTTATCAACTTTCCCATAAACAAGTGATTGATCCTGCCTTTTAATGACATTGAAGTGTTTGATATCGCTGGAATTCAGATACTGTTCCACAACAAATCCAAGAAAACTGTTATCTGGAGTGTGAGCTGCAAATTAAACAACAAAAGTGTATTAGTGCATCATTCACTTTAACACATGCAAAAAAAATGGACAATTTACAGCCTGCAAATGTCTGGAAGATGCATTGACAAGTTCAAATATGAGTTTGTTTCAACTGTTGAGTTATATTTTCAACAGGAAATATTTGTAATTTTATTTATGATCTTATAGCAATAGCAGTAGACTTATATACCGCTTCATAGGGCTTTCAGCCCTCTCTAAGCGGTTTACAGAGAGTCAGCATATTGCCCCCAACAATCTGG